AAAGTTGCAGGTTCTTTGCTACATGTAGAAACACCACCTAACAAACATGGGGTGATGTCCTGGCTCCAGTGAATTCAATTATAAAACTCCCCTTGACTTCAGTGGGGCCAGGATTTCATCCCTTAAGTGCAACATGTAAAAGTATAATACTGTTCTGGACATGTCTAAATACATAAACGTACAATTATTATGCTAGTATTCATGTAATAGCAATAATCAAGCAGGGCCATGCCAGTGTATGCTGAATTACTATGAGTTAAAGTGATGCATTCTGTTTTCTGGGCAGCCATATTCCTGGCTTTCACTGTTATGAACATTGGATTTAACCGCTTAATAAATTTGAATCCCCGCCTTCTAATGCCCTCCCTTCCTGGATGGGAAAATAGGCTTTAAAACAAATTTGGCCTGTATGCCTCTTCTTTGTGGAAAAAGAACTGAGCCTGTGCAGCCTTAACTTGATCAAGCTTTCTGTAGTCTTGTGGGAATAGTATGATATTGTGGATTTTAAATGTGAAGGAACATCTTCCTTCTTTACAGATCAGGGAAAATAAAGTTCCCACTAAAGCATGTGGCAAGGGTCAGAAATTATCCTCGATACGGCTTTCCAAGCAGAACATCAGCATGGTGCTAGGGATCAGATCCCTCCAGATAGACTTGATCTACTAGGCAACAAATAAATTACCTATTTGCGATAGCAAAAAAATCAAAGATCTAGGCCACATACATCCTCATGAGTATGGACAGTCTGTAATTCTGTGTCATGGCCTTGTTAAGAAGAACAGGAACATTTTCACCAATTGATGCTGTTAATTACTTTCTCCCTCAGGCCTTTGATCAACACAGTAGTTATGACCCTGCATTAGTTAAATCAGCAGGTAAATCTTCATAATCAAAAGGGTTAGAATTGTTTTCACATGGAAGCTGAGATCCTAGAAGGTATTTCCAGCATTCACTAATTTAATAAATCCATCTGAGTTTCTGTAAAGGCAGAAGGCGGCTGGTATGTTTGGAAATGTCAGAAGCTAACATTTTAAAGTTCTCTCCTGTGAACTTAAAATTAAATCCAACTTGTGGTTTCAGTACAAATGACTTTATTATTTCAGCACAATAAAGCAAATAATCTGTACAATGAAGCCACCATGGATAATTAACACAGCTCGACATAGCTGGCAGACTCTGCTTGGCAGAGGTCCAAAGCTTGATCCGATTTATTATACTTGTGGTTCCTTTGGGTCAGGGATGTCAGCAAATTCACAGCTGTGTGAATGGCAAGACTTTGATCATTAGAGAAACAAACTGTTTAAAAAAATAACTTTACTGGAGTGTCAAATATTGTCAGGGATTCAGTTAAACTAACACAAAAGCTACAGTTTATGTATTAACTGGTGCTGAGACTGATCCGGTATCACTTAAATAGTTAAGGGCAGCATGCATTCTTTTAATCATAGATCAGAAACAAAAATGACTCTTTAACTGAGTTATCAGATCAAAAGGGTAGACATCTCAGTTTCCTCCACAAATATTTCTGGCTCCCTATGTATTTCTGGTGTTTGATGCTTTGCCAGTTTAAATTACATCCAGAGTTTTGTTTTGTTTTGTTTTTTTGGAACAACCACATACAGATTTAAATACATTTTAACACTAAAAACAATTAGATTGGTTAAAAATGTCAGATTTAATTGGCATGGGCTAATAAGTGAGCAGTTGGCTGTTTTGATCTCAGATGTTTGGAATAATAATTGTATCATTTTCCTGAGTTATACTCTGTGGAGATGGGCCAATGAGTCCAGGTTTTTATTTTCTGAAACTTCATTGATTCCAAAACACACATGTAGTTTAGATACAAGCTGCATTTTATCAGACTCACTAAAAGTAAGGAGTGGAGAGAGTATGATAGATTTTCTGGTTTTGGTCCCTTGTGATTTATCTGCCACTGACCATCAGAATGAGTTAGAAATGCTGAAATTCAATAAAAAAAATATACCAAATACTTTGTTGGCTATCATCTAGTGTCTACATTTTAGTTGCTAAAATAAATATTATAAACTCAGAAAATAAAGAGTATAAGAGAAAGAGTTATAGCAAAATTCAAAGTAATAGAAATGTGCAACTGAGTACATGAAATGGGTAAGACTAAATAGGCTGAAATTCATCACACTTGTAAAACTTAGAATGTGCTTATGTCTGTGTGCTATCGAGTGAGACCCAAATTCTGCCCATGCAATCCTACTGATGGCTTTTGAAGAGTGTAGCTGGGATAGGGTTTGGTCCTTAATACTCACTTGTTATCTGATGTAGATACTCATTAATATTCAAGTTTTTGTTTGCTTAGTCTCTCCGAAACGAGTAGCTTTATGGGTATAGAGGAGGTTGGGAGTGCAGCCTCACATACCAAGGATTAGTGTGCAACCTACAGCCACAGATTTGCAGATCCCAGACAATTCATTGACATGACCTGGCAGCATAGATTCCTTTACAAGACTTCAGAGTATAGATGAGTATCAGCTCCATCAAACCAATAGGGATTCCTACTTAGAAGTACACCAGTTAGCCTAAGGAGCATGCCATGGAAAGTATTTGCTTTTTGGTGTCCACCTTCCCTCCTTCTGAGTTTGACTCCCTCTCCAAACTACTGAAGCCTGGGAAAAATTGAGGAATGTGGGATCTCTACATGCAGAGTAGCTTATGCATCATAGCTGTTGAGCTCCATTTCTTAATAATGGCTCCAAGTTGAGATTAAAAAATCGAGATGCAAATGACCAATCAAAAGGTATAATTAAATGTTTATAATGAACTAAGAAACAAGGAAATGCTCCTCTTTTGATAATGAATAGAGCTGTTTATTGTATATCTGTGTCTCTCCTAACTATTATAAATGGTATTTGAACCTGTATGAAATCAAGACATTCTGCAGTATAGCAATGTAAATAGAATCATGCACACGCAACAATAAAGTTGATTTTTTTTTCTTTTAAAGTAAATATGAGAAATAGAAAACATCCCTAAGAAATTGTTGGAGTTTTATTGGCAATGAAATAATAAGCATGCAAGTGTGCCCATCCTATTTTTATCATTGCTGAAGTTGGGGGGAGGTGGGTTGCAAAGCTTTTGGATCTGGAAGCATTATCGATCAAAACCCAATATATGAATGCTGCTTTCTTTCAGGAGTTGGAAGAGTTGATTAAAGTCAAGGAAAAAGAAGTAGAGAAAGTAGAACAGAGTGGCCTTTCCTTGGTCCGCAATAAGAAGGAAGAAGTCTCTGCTGTTGTCATGAGTACTCTGCAAGAACTTAACCATTCATGGGCCAATTTGGACCACATGGTAAGAGAATGTGGTTCTGTTAATCAACTGTGCCTGGAATGCCTATGAGTGCAGAAGGCCCTTACCAGAAAGCGAAAGGTGGATTTCTTCTGAGTGGGAGGGAAGGGCGAAGATATTCTAGGAGATTGATTAGTGTCTGTACCCACCATCATGTGATTACACAGATGTAAAATGGGTATAAAGATGTCTATTCACAGGAGTATTGAATTCTTATTTATTACAGTTTTGATGTTGCTACCAGATCTCACATGAAATGTGCTGTACATACATTACAAGAACAGTATATGCAATACTGCCCCCAAGCCTACAAATAAACCTAAAGCCACATGTTGAATGAGGGAGAAAATAACAATGGTACTCCTTCAAATAGGGGGGGGCTAGACCTCAAGGTGCCCAGGGGTGGGGGTAACAGCACTCCCTGGCTTGAAGTGGTTTCCATCACATAAAGTGTTTGCAGCTTGGTTCAATGGTTCATGACACTCCCCCACTCTACAAAAAGTTCCAGACTCCTTCCCCTTCTGCTCATAAAAGTAATCCCCATCCATTGGAGTTTCCAAAATCAGATGCTGCTCCTAGTAGATTGTGCAGAGCATCGTCATTTTAAAAATGCTGCTCTTTGAGCTCCATTAGGCTCCTTTAATTTGACACAGCCTGTGTGGGATATGACTGCTGTAGGTTCTGTTCTCTGGGTTTAGCTGCTTCTTAACTGGGGCGGGGCAGGGCAGGGAAGTGGAAGAACTTTCCAAACACAATTTAATTTTGTCACCAAGTAAGTCACTTTTTACAGTGACTTGTGCCCTTTTTCCTTAATAAAGAATAAAATCATTCAAATGTCAGCATCATTATCTTATCAGTGGACCTCTGAGTTACCAACTCACTAGGATTAATGAGGCCATTCACAGCTCTATGACATTGTTTCAGGCTTTCTTCTGACTCACATAAAAAGCTCTGCAATGGTTACACTTAGCTCATGTATCTGAGATGTTTTTTCTCACCCATAACAACCAGAAACTTGTTTTTGTTTTTTTGTTTTTTTTTTTGTTAAAGCTGAGATTCCAGAGAACAAGGCAGGAGCTTCAGAGCCATTTTAGCACCTCATCCTGCTGTGTACTGGCCCATGAAAAAACCTGGTCAACAACTGTGAAAAATATTTTTTTCTCATAGTCACAGTGTGTGCCACCAGTAGTGACAAACCATGTGGTTTAAGGGATATGTAGTGATCATGTCATATGTTGTGCCACCAGAGACTGACACCCAAAATCACCAATCATGTCTGAAAATCTTGACCAGAATTATGTGACCAAGCACATTTCTCGTTGAACATGACTGCCAAACAAATAGTACTGAGCTTGAGTGCTTAACGTTTTTTTTTTAATTCAAGATCAAACGAAGGGAAATAGTTTAAACAAATAGCAAATGCCACTCACACATTCCATATTTATTGTTTTTTTTCTTCCCAGGTTGGCCAGCTGAAGATATTGTTGCAATCTGTGCTTGATCAGTGGAGCGTTCACAAAGCAGCTTATGAAGAACTGAATAGTTATTTGATGGAAGCTAGATATTCTTTGTCCCGCTTTCATCTCCTCACAGGCTCCTTGGATGCAGTGAAAGTCCAAGTAGATAACCTCCAGGTGACTAACGAGTACTGAGGCTCCTGACAACTTCCAAAAAGATTGAGATAAATTCTGCCTTCAGTGCTGCTCAGATGTAGCTGACTGCAGAATCTGGTCTTTAAGATATGGAATCTTAAATTCACTGCCAAGCCAAGACATATAATGTTAACAAACATCCTTATACACCTTTCTAGAAGAGTTGGTCCTGTAATTTTTAGCAAAATTGCTTTTTTAAAATCAAAATATAACTATCTTTAATTGCTAGAGATATATGAATATTAATAGAATTTTAAAAATCCAATTTACTTCTCCTTATTCAGGCTCTCGTAACTTTTGCATTTCTCCAACCCTGAACAGTTAGTCAGTTTAACTTGTTTATTGTAAGTTCTTCAAGTGCTTGCACACATCCATTTCAATGTTGGTGAGAGAGCACCTTGTGCTCAGTTGTCAGAGAACTGGTACTGTTAAGAGAACGAATCAGGGTACTTGAATACCCTCTGTCACCACACACCATTGTATGTTGATGTAAGAGGGCAAAGTCACCCCCTGTTCTCCTCAGTCTCTTCTTTCCACCAGTTGTCAGAACACTCTGAGGCTGTGTCTAGACTACATGACTCTGTCGGCAGAGGCATGTAGATTAGACAGATCAGCAAAGGCAAATGAAGCCGCGATTTAAATGATCGCGGCTTCATTTACATTTACATGGCTGCCGCGCTGAGCCGACAAACAGCTGATCAGCTGTTTGTCGGCTCTCGCGCTAGTCTGGACGCTCCCCTGCCGACATCAAAGCCCTTTGTTGGCAGCCCCGTTATTCCTCATGGGATGAGGTTTCCCGGGCCTGCCGACAAAGGGCTTTGATGTCGGCAGGGGAGCGTCCAGACTAGCGCGAGAGCCGACAAACAGCTGGTCAGCTGTTTGTCGGCTCAGCGCGGCAGCCATGTAAATGTAAATGAAGCCGCGATCATTTAAATCGCGGCTTCATTTGCCTTTGCTGATCTGTCTAATCTACATGCCTCTGCCGACCGAGGCATGTAGTTTAGACGTACCCTGAGATTTGTTGTCATATAGTTCCCTCCACCCTTTTCATCTGTATTCTGTTATTGATAGGAAGTAGTGTTCGATTTTTTTTTCCTTGGGTCTTTTTGGACTAGTTTTCATCTCTCATTACTGAGATCAGTCCCAAAACAATGCTGTACTCACAAGGTTTCCGTCCTGCCACACTTGTGCTTCTATGCTGTTCAGTAATCCATGTCCAGCCCCTTTCAAATGTTTGGGAGAACCAAACAATAGCCACGTTTCTAAGGAATTCAAACCCACGTTTCTAAGGAATTTAAGCCCCATTTAAAGCTAAAGTGGCAAGGCTCATTGAAGCAGCACTTAGTTCCCCTTCAGATGAGTCCAGGAATGGGGGCTAAATATCATGAGCTCATTATAAAACCATGATCATTGATAACCCTGCCAGAACAGAAGTATGTTGGTTTTAAAACAGTTGGTTTTGGAATTTAAAAATAATTGTGGAATATTTTTAGTTTTAAGAGCTATTTAAAAATGTGTTTTTTGTAATTGGAGACAAATTTAAGTTGACAATGTTTCAGTGGTTGGCAGTCTAGGTAGATGTATATAGATGTCAGAGGGAATGCAAGAATACAAGTGAAGGTAAAAATGCATATTTGTAAATTTCTCTTGTTCCCTGATGTTACATTTCATATAAGGCAACAAGTAAAACAAACAAACAAAAAAACGCTTTTGATTTCTGTTTCTTTGGGCCAGATTATAGCTCAGTTTGCAGGCCCAAGGTGCCTTCTTAGTACTTTTGAGCTGAAGCCTGTACTGCCCCTCGCAGAAGTGGAAGGGAAATAGGCTCAGCAGAAGTATTGCATTCCTCCTCGCCACGTGTGAACGGGCAGGAAGAAGTGATTGCACCGAGCTCCCTTGTAGCCTCCACAACACAGCAGCATACAGACCCAGTCCAGTTTACATCTTCCATGAAGCTGTTGGGAGATTGATTGGACCTGAGGCTATGCAGCCTGAAGGTGTGATTGCAGCACATGTAGGCATATCCAAGCTAGATTAGATCAAGCTAGTTTGCAACATGGAAGGTGAAATGGGCTAGCTAATAAAAGTACAAGTCCAACCAGTATCCATACTGAGGTTGCCACAGCTTCACGGCTATTTTTACAAGCTAACTAGATCAAAGCTAACTCAGTTATGCCTACATGTGCTGCAGTCACACCTTTGATTGCAGTGCAGACATATTCTTGTCAACACAAAAATTTAGTTTGTAGCAACCTAGAGTATGAACCCATCCTGCACCAGCCTGTTGCAGACTAACTGTCCACATGGACTCTGTTACCATACACTAACATTTCCTCAGTGCACTTTGATCCACTCCCATTTCAAGTCAGAGTAGATCAAAACACACTGAGTGTATGTCTACATAGCAGCATTACTTCAGAATAATAAAGAGTACATCTGTACTGCAAGCCATTATTTCAAAATAATGGAGAGCTGGAGGACTTCTTACGCTGACTCCTGCAGCCCTCATTCCACAAGAAGTAAGGGAAGTCAGAGGAAGAGTGTTCTTCCCTCAACTTCCTGCAGTGTAGACAGCGCTAAAAGCCAAATTAAGCTATGCAATTGATGTAGCTGAAGTTGTGTAGCTTAATCTGACTTTAGCCCTACTGTGTAGACGTGCCCGAAGAAACTCTGTGTGTCAGCAGGGTCGACATGGGGTATTCTTTGGAAGACTAGAGTGGAGTAGATTTACACGCTAGATTGCTCTGAACTAAATGTTCCTGTAACTCTCTCCTTAGTCACAAGTCCCTGCTCAGGGTGGTGTGTTAACTTATGTTCCAGCCCTAAACAAGCAATTACTGTGACTGTTCATGAGTCCACGGATGCATTGGGATAGTCCCACCAACAGCAATTCTAGGCTCCAGGACAGAACAGTCATGGATCTCTTGTCCCTCCCCACTGCCAAGAGAAACTCTTGATGCCCCCCCTTCAACCAGAGGACTCCTGGGCCGCTCATAGCCCTATATGCCACCTGTCTGCAGAAACCCTGCTCCTGCTGCAGCCATGCCTCCCTTCCCTTTCCTGGACCCAACCATGAGGTATTACTCACACACGCTGGAATCTGCATAGAGCATATCAAAAGCTTCTTTGAAGAGATGCTTTTCACCTGAGCAGACTGGATCTGGGGAAGGCAGGGGAGGCAAGGCTGCAACTGGCCTGGGGCTCCTTTGGTTGGCATGGGACTCCTCTGACGGGGGGGGCCACTGGGGACTTCTCTGGGTGGAGAGGCTTGTGGCTCTGGCTGAGAGAAGAAGTCGGGGGGGGCTTGCAGCTCTGGCCACGGGAGGAGAGTGCAGGTGAAAGGAGTGGAGCTTGGGACTACACCTGCTGCCCAAGTTCCCATGCCTGTTGTCCACCCAGACTATTTAAAACAGCCCGGTGGGCCTGGATTTGGAGGTCTCTTAACAAAGAGAGGGTCTCACGATCACATTGTTTAAAAAGTTGTGAACCCCTAATGGTGATGTTCTGAATTATGCACTTGTTTAAACTTCTGCTCAATATTTATAAATAAAACATGAACATTTGTTAACACTATTTTTGAAAACGTGCTTCCTTATATTGCTAAGAACTTACGAGATGGATAAGAAAAACAGTTTTAAAAATAAGGTTTACTTTTCACTACTTCTGCATTCCTCTCACTTGTACTACAGAAAACAAGAGTAGTCAACTTTAAAATTGTTTCTTCAACAGTTAGTCTCCAGTCAGTTTTTTAAATTTGATACACTAGCATATAGTGCAATCTTTTGGTTGTAAGTTCAGCATGTGAATACTTGTTGAAAACCAAGTTGTTTCACTGAAGGCATTTTATGTTTCAGTACATGGGTCTGGTAGAATGTAATTTTTATAAAACCTACATTTTGAGCCATATTTGACTTAATAACGTTTCTCTAAATATATATTAAAATATTATTTAAATTAAGACCGAGATAAAAATTAGACCTTTTACTTGATTTTCATGAACCCTTAAGAATCGTACGCTTTCATGGTGAGATTAAAATCTTTTTTTATTCTACAGAAATGGATTAGATCACCATTTTTCTTTCTCTCCATACAGAGCCTGCAGGATGAGTTAGAAAAGCAAGAGAACAGCTTACAGAAATTTGGTTCAATAACTAACCAGTTATTGTAAGAGTGTCAGCCACCAGTCACTGAAACACTTTCAAATACCCTGAAAGAACTCAATATGAGGTACAAAGTCTATTTTTGTGCTGATCTTTGTTAAATTGAAAGTTATGGTTAAAAGCTACTAGTTCTCAAAACCTATTTACATCTGATCTCCTTATTTTATTCATTTATTTTGAACAAAATATTTTAAAGCTTTAAACATATTTTTAAATATTCAAAAACATTTTGGTTAGTCAGATCTAAAGAAGACTGTGAAGGACCTAATCAGGTTAATTGTCCAAGACAATGGCAAATAAAATTCAGTGTTGATAAATGCAAAGAAAAGAAAAACTTTAATTTTCATACATTCATGCACCTTACAGTGTTTAGATATATTTTAAATTAAATGCCCCAACTATGGAAGGAGACCTGGGCTTGACATAAACAGCTCCATCAAGACCACCTGCTCAAAGCATAGCTGCAGTCAAAAAAAGCAAATAGGATGTTAGGGTACATAGGGAACAGACTGGAGAATAGTACCACAGACATCTTTATGCCATTATAATTAATGGCTCATCTTCAGCTGGAATACTGTTTGAAGTACTGGTCATCCCATCTCAAAGAGGATATTTTAGAATCAGAAGGCTCCACAGGTGAAGGACAACAATGATTAAGTGTATGGAAAACGATCAAAAGAGGAGAGATTGAAAAGTTTGGAATTGTTACTTTAAAGAGTAATAAGAGGGGTAAAAGTATTGAAAAAATATACAAATATGGAGATATTAAACTGGGAAAATCTTTTTTCACTGTTTCATAGCTATAGAACAAGGGAGGAGTCAGTGAACTAAAAAGTGGCAAATTTTAAAACTGATAAAGGAAAATGCTTTTTCACACAACTTGAGATTAGACTTTAAAACTCTTCTACAGAATGACATTGCAGAAAATAATTTAGCAAGATTCAAAGAATTATTGAACATTTATATGGATAACATGACTATCAACAATTGTTATAATTAGTACTTTTTTAAAAGGGGGGATTAGAAGGGATATAAATCTGTGACTATTAGTAGTTAGTCAGAGACTGTATCACCTCATTTCTGCCCGCTACGTGGTTTTTTTTTTTTTTTTTCCCACCTCTTACTCATTATGAAAGCATACTAGTGCGGGCAATTGTCAGAGACAAATGTGATGCAACATGGCAGTTCACATGAGCATACATTCCTGTGCTTAAATGCTCAGTGAATATTGCACTACTGGTTTTTTTTAGTATAATTTAAACAGCATCAGTTTATATAATAACCAAGATCTAATCTAATTTAAGATTCATAAGAATTACTCATCTGTTTTCCGTTTTCCAAACCACCACTCATCAGAGCAAACAGATGTGTAATTTTTTATGTCTGTGAACAGTAAATAAATAATTGCTACTCTAGGCCGCTTACTGTATAGCTCTGTTGACAGATCCATTTAATATTTCTGCCAGGTGGAATAACCTTCTGGAAGAGATTGCAGAGCAGCTACACTCCAGTAAGGCCCTGCTTCAGCTTTGGCAGAAGTACAAAGACTGCTACAGCCAGTGCTCCTCCACAGTCCAACAACATGAGGACCAAATCAATGAGCTGTTGAAGACTGCCATTAACAAGGAGATAGGTGATAATGAAGTCACAACTTGGATTCAGGATTGCAATGTACGTTCAGTAAGCTCATTGCCTTATCATAATTCCATGGGTTAATATCACAGCAGGATTTCCTATACTGAACTATTTCCCTGGGCTTATCAAAATAGTTTTGAGACTTGCACAGGGTGATATTTTTTTCTTCACTAAGGAATCCTTTAGGCATTAACCATGGACTCTACTTTTCTTATCCTCCTATGGGAGTAAGCCACAGGGGCTCTGACCTTCCTGAAACAGGTATTGAGTCTGTCTTTCTGGGTTGTTGGATTTTCTCACACACACGCACTTCATTCCTCACCCTAATTGTTAGCTCAGGCATTTAGTTCTGTTTATGGTCTAGCCTTAGGCTATGGACAGACAAATTATTATGTGGTCCTCTTTGGGGGCCCCAATGCTTCGGTGTTTACCTATACAAATGACGCTTATCTGGACAATCTCCTCATAGTGTTTTCCATGAGAGGGGATTGTAGGATCAACTGCTATGTTTTGCCTACATATTCTAGACTGGCAAACTTGTCAGGCATAACAGAAGAGAGAGGTTCAGAATCTTTTCCCACCTTGCTTTCAATGTATCTGCCCATTCACTAGGTTATCCACATCTCAGAGCCAAGGTATGATTTATCTCATAGACTAGGATGCATTTCTTCATTTATGAGTTATGATAACCCCTTATACCACTGCCATTGATAAGGAGGTTGTCGTAGGGCAGTGTTGCATGGAGCACTCTCCAGCATCAGGCTACAGCACAACAGGCACGTCTGCTTCAGTTCTCTTTCAGATTCCTCATTAGCTCCACTTCAAACTCTCTCCTACTTTAATAATACCCCTTCTTAGAGTTGGTTTGTTAACAAAACATAGTTTGCTGAATCTGCAAAGAACTTACAAACATAGTCCAACTCCCACATTTGATGGATATAGTCTTTAAAACTCTGCTCTTCCCAGCAGGCATCTCCTTCCCACCCTCTCTGCGGATAGTCCTGCCCTCCTATACTCGACACCCTCTGGGACATGTAGACTCTTTGTCAGTTGTCTTCTGTCCCTCTGCCAGGAGAGCCACCCCAGCCCTAGCAGCTGGAGTGTACCCTCACTCTTCCCAGCAGGGAACCTCACAGCCATGTTGCTGGGAGATTATCCTCATTGGAGAGCATCCCTTGCCCTCTGACTGTTCCTCTGGGCCAACCTCTCTATTGTGGAGACAGCAGGTAAGACCTGCTGCTGGTCTCTTGCCTTTAGCTCACTGACCCTGGCACTCTGCTAGGGCATGCCATCCAAGAAACCCCTTATCTGCTATCCTGCCTTCAGCTTTCCCCAGGAAACTGCCACAGCTTCCTTCTGGAACCTTCCACAGCCAGCCTGGTATCTGGCAACTCTCTCCTGTCCTTTTCTTTACTGATTTTGCCTGTGCTCTAGAGTCTAAGGAAACACTCATTCCCAGAGGCTACGTCTACACTACAAGGGTTTTGCTCAAAAACAGCTGTTTTTGCGCAAAAACCTGTGGAGCGTCCACATGTCAAATGAGCTCTTGCATAATTAAATGGGCAGTTAAACAGCAGAACAGAAGGCTTTTTCTGAGTAAACCTCCTTTTCTGAGGCATAACTGCTTTTCGTGTTACAGCTATTGTGCAAGAAGGCCAGTGTGGATGCTCCAGAAGGGTTTCTTGCACAATAAACCCCTATGGGAAAAAGCACAGGTGCTCTGATGGCCATTCTGTGAATGGCCATCAGAGCTTTCTTGTGCTAGAGCATCCATGCAGTGAGCGTCCGTGCAGCGTCCATGCGATGTGCTTTGAGGTGTGGACGTGCCCTTGTGCAAGAAGTTTTTGTGCAAAAACTTTTGTGCAAAAGGCTTCTTGTGCAAGAAGCATGTAGTGTAGATGTAGCCTGAGAGACTCTCGCCAGTTCTCCCCATTTTTTGTAGCTCCAGATACTGATTGGCCCTCTCATGTGGCCAAACTGGAAACACCTGTTCTGGCACAGGGAGTTGAATCTTTTTCATTCACCAGAGCCAGCCATCCTGTGACAGAGATCTTTGTCATTTTCATTTTAGTATAAGCTATCACAATTTACAGACTAAAAAATTGCTTCCTAAAATTACATTTGAGGGTATTGCAGGCACTTTGGTTTGCATCCAGAAATGCCCAGTAGGATTTCCTCCTGTGCTCATATGGCATACTTTTTCCATGGAGAGTAAGAACAAAATATACATGTTTGTTTTTATAAAAATACTCCTACTAGAGAAAGCTAAAGAGAGGGTATTTCCAGTCAAAAGGAAACTGATTGATCCATAGTGAGAGATTTTTGTGCTAGAAACAATGTCATATGACATATCAGCTGATCCACGTGGACACTTTCCATGTATTTCTGTTCCCTACTCAAAAGTGGCATGTAGACAACTGACTAATCATTCCTTTTCCAATCCTTTGAGCGTATGTATTGAAACATATGTTGTTATACATACATACCAAGATCAATCAGGAGTTTACTGAAGGCTTTTATAATGCAGTAGTAACTATGTTTAAATGTAATATGTTGTTTTCATGAGTTACTTGACAAATTTTCTGAACCTCAATAGCTCAGCTGAGATTATTTTGAAGCAGAATAATGTTTTAAGCTTTTGTTTACATGTATGTTACTACAGGATTTATTGAAAAGTCTGGGGACAGTGCAAGATTCCCTGTTTGTTCTCCATGAACTTGGAGAGCAGCTTAAGCAACAAGTGGAGACATCGGCAGCAGCAGCTATTCAGTCTGATCAGCAATCCCTGAGCCAGAACTTGTCCACACTAGAACAGGCTCTCATCAGGCAAAAGGCTATACTCCAGGTTTGAAGAGCTTCTTTATATTTATTACTTCTAATCATTCCATTCTACCTGAAAAGTGTGCCCTAGCCACACACAGAAAGGAGCATTTTTTGAACAGGTATATTCCCTAGAGATACAGGTAGTATATGTAGTACACAGTTAAAGATGGGAGCACTCAACTAGCATGTCCAAACCTATAGCAAGAAATTAGGAATGTGATCCCAGTTCTGAAAAAGGGACAACAAACCTTGCAAGAGGGACTGAAATTTACCATAGGAAGCTAGAACCCTCAAAGTAATTATGGACATGATAGTCAATCAGATATTGTATAAAGCTAACCTGCAGATCTACAGCTGCTACTTAGCTATAAGGGGCAAGGAAATATCAAGCCATGCCTCACAGTCAATAAATATGTAGATAAAAACAGGATTGAATTTTTAAAATATTCATCTTTAATTTAGTCCTTCTCCCATTGAAGTCCGTGAGAGTTTTACCATTTACTTTGATGGAAAAAGTCAGGCCAGTTCTGAATGCTTTTGAAAATCACAATTTAAATATATACAAGAGTCAGTAAAAGAAACTGTGATCATACCTCAGTTACCAAAGGCATGGATGTTCAGTTTCCCTGATTAAAGCACAGTAAAGAGAAGCACAAGTCCTCCAGCAAAAGTACATATGCATGAAAAAATTCAAGAAAGTATCTTCTAGCCTGATGGCTTTTTATAGAAATCCAAAATTTAATCATGACTGCTATTTATTTTTATTAACAATATTACTTATGCAGAAAGTTCAGTTTTATAAAGGGAGTTTAATTATCTCAAAACACCTTAACTATTTTTAAAATTATAGTTTTAGCATTCAGTCCTGAAAATTCAACATTAAAATAAAGCTAAGAATGTTTTTGAGATGAGAGAGTTGAATCTTTTTTAAATAAAACTGTGTGAAAGATTATATTCAGAATTATATTTATCTAGAGTTTCATGTGTTACAACAATGCTATTTTTATATGGTATATCTTCAAAGCTTTAGCAATTAGCCCCAGTTTTTTTTTAAAGTCACCATGGTTAACGCCTTTGAACTTTTAACAGAACTGATTTACTTGCAAGTATCCTGAACAGTAAAAGTTTACGGTGCCCTCTATTCATCAAAGCACCAACCATGTGTTTAAGTCCCATTGACTTCAGTATGCATGTGCTTACGTACTTTTGCTGACTTGGTGCTTTAAAAAGTAAATGGTATAGGTTTTGTTACAATCAACTCTTGTTTTCATGCCTAGCAAAAAATATTATAATCCCACTTTCTAAACAAATATGGCCTTTACTATGGAAATAGTATTACTGTCTCTGTGATAAATACTGGTTCTGCAGCTGTGAAGCCGTTAGCAGTCAAATTGCTCACTGGTACCACTGTTTATATTTGCTGGAGTTTGACCTAGGGTTGCCGGATGGTTTCAACAAAAATACTGGACAAATTTGGCATTACATCACAATCTACATTATGTCTTATTTAGAAAATACTGGACATTTATATTTTCTCAATTTGTTTCCTGAACAGAGAGCTCAAATACTAGACTGTGCGGTTCAAAACCGGACACCTGGCAACCCTAGTTGAGCATCAGAATGACTGAAGTGACAGTGAGATCATAACAAAGAATATGAATATTATGCGCCCTCATGTTAAACCGTTAAATTGTGGTCTTTCTTTTGTACCTAAGGCTGGAGTTCTAGACTATGAGACATTTGCTAAGAGCCTACAGGGCCTGGAGGCCTGGATAACAGAAGCTGAAGAAATGTTGAAAGAACAAGATCCCAGTCATTCATCTGATGTGTCTACAATCCAGAACAGGATGGAAGAACTCAAAGTGAGTAGCAAATATAAACAGTGTGACATAAAATTGGAGGACCAGAGTGATCAATGTATAGTATAGCATATGCACAAAATCCACATAGAAAACCAAAGGTTGATTCTGGCAGTCTATCCTTAACTGCCTTCTTTGTGCCCCCATGTATGAAGGATCTGGGTAGGCAAAACTGATTGATTGAAATAAAGTAAGTATCAAAAACATCATTCCAAATTTGAACTGAATAGTTCTAGAAGCTTAGAAATGTTTGCATATTTTCTTTTGCCTCTCTTTTCTTCATATTCCTGAACCTCTGCAATTACTGAGTCAGGCACAGAAAGAAGAAAGGTAAACTATCACAAAAAAGCTCTTTTATTTCTGGCTTAGCTGAAAGCAGGGGGACTGTTCACACAAGCTTTGCTGATACTAGTGGTTTACATAAAATTGATTTGGACATTGAGTTTTTTTTAGTGTGTACCTAAACTGAGTCTTACAACACATCCAACTATTTAAATGTTTGATCTCATTCCCACTCATCTCTGGATACTGTCAGGAAAGAATATAAATACCTAAAAATAACAGAGGTGCAAGCTACACCAATGATCCCTGAATATAATGCTTAGTTTAGTAGTCTGATGCCATGAGAATAACCTGTTTTGAAAATTAATATGTAATATCCTCCCAACTCTGGATAGTGTTATACATTTAAAAATTTATCTTATCTGCACATGTGGTGAGGTAAATCAAAGAGACTGTATACTCATTTTTATCATCTTAATAATTACAGTGAATGTGTATGTGTATTATACATACACATGTCTTTTTACTTCTGTCAGGGACCAATCCCTGACAGAAAGTTGATG